GGCAGCAGCAGCACCACCACCACCGGCCCCGGGAGCCACGAGGCTGGCCAGGCCATGGAGAGCCCGGCGGAGAACCCGAGCAAGGCGGCGGAGTACCTCAAGGAGCTGAACAAGATCATCGAGACGCAGCAGGAACTGCTGGAGAAGCAGAAGCTCCGGATCGACGAGCTGGAGCAGCAAGTGGCCCGGCTCTATCAGGAGAACGCCCGCTTGCAGGACGAGTACCAGCGGCACCTGGCCACATGCAGGCTCCTGCTCCTGCAACAGGAGCAGCAGGCAGCACCACCAGCAGCATCAGCCCCACCACCACAGGGAGCTCTACCCGCCCTCCCGCCGCCGCCGCCGGGGGACAGCCCAGAGACCGCGAAGGATGAAAAGTAAGAAACGGGGAAGGGAAGAAGATCCCTGGCGGGGGGGGGGGGAGCGAGTGAGTGAGGGAGTTGCGGAAGAGATGCCCAAACATCTGTCTCTGCTGGAGACAGAGAAACAAACAACCAGGTGGGGTGGGTGTGCTTGGCCTTTGTTTCCTTAGGGGCGACCCTAAGGCCGGGACTCCCTGCGCTGTTGGGGATTTGGGGTGCCTGCCCTCACAACTCCCCCTCTTTCCTGCTTGTTCTTGGTTTTTCTTGCCCTGGTCCTCGGGGGGGGTGGTGGCGGGGCGGCGCTTTTCGTTGGCCCTCGTCCTCTGCTGAGCTGCAGCAGCCTGGAAACGCAGCCTTCGAGGGATCTGGTCCCGACCCCCCTCGCTTCTCTTCTCCCTCCTTTCCCTCTGCCAGCCTTTCGGTGAAAGGACTTCGGAGAAGGAAGGATGTTGAGCCTTGCAGAATCTGTCGGAGGAGGAGGAGGCGGCACGGTGGACTCCCAGGTGGAGAAGGTTACACGAGGATGTAAGGAGATTTGATGAAAGGAAACGGGGTGCGGCGCCCATTCGGTGCCCCTCTGTCTGGCAGAAGGGATCGGGCATCTCTTCCAAGGCAGAGCATGTGCTTAGTGGCGTTTGGAGCCTAAGGAGGAGTGACGGAGGAGGCGCTGCTGATGAAACTGACAGAATGAGGGTCAGTAAACATTGGCAGGTGGCCACCCTTGCAAACCGTGACTAGTTCAAATTTAAACTTGTTGATCTTCAAGGACTTGTTTGCTCTCAATCTCTGCATCTATTTACGGAACACGTTAATCGTTAATTAATCATGCACTGCTTATTACTTATGGGGAGCTACTTAACTACATTACTGCTGAAAGTTAGGCCAATTCTGGAGTTGTTAAAGGACTACAGTTGCCTATCTAACTTTAACAGCTTGACATGGAAATCTGCGAATTACTTTAAGTAGGAATGGTAAAGCCTGGTTGTTAATTGAAGGCTACAGAACAAAGTTGGTCATGTATTTTGGGTGGTAGTTTCTTTTTTTTTAAGAGGACAAAAGTTTTGGAAGCTTCTGTAATAGGAAGCATTTGCTGAAAAGATTAAGATTCATGTAGTGCTGCGGTAGTTAGGGGACTTCATTATTGGAAACATGTTGGCAGTTTTGAAATTACTTTACATTTAATTAGACTTCAGATATAAAGCTAACACTTTAAAATAAAATATTTCTACGCACATACAAAGAAAGGTATAATCCATGTAACCATCAAGAACTCATGACTGTGTTCAACCAGTTATTATTTCAGTGTGTGTGCAATTTTTTCTGCAGGTAAGGCATTAAAATACAGGTTGAAGGTCTTTTTTTATATCTTGCAAAAGAGAATGAAAGAATTACACACACACACACACACACACACACACCCATCATGACAATAGGATAAGGTTCTGCATCTTTCTCTTAGTAGTTGAATCACAGCAGGATGAGCCCTTACTATGTTTACAGAGATTAGCAAAATCATTATTTATTTTCAACTTGATTTTTTTTACTCTATTGTTCTGCCTATTCCTTCAAATATCTATTAGAATGTAATACTTTGAACTGTCCCTTGGTTTTTGTATCCAACTTGAACATACCAAGTTTTGCGTAAAACTGCAGTCCATGGATGCCATGTAACATCTTCATATCTGCAACAGATGTCATTATTTTAATGCTTGATGAATTAAACAAGATGCTTTCGAACAATCAATTCAACTCCATGGTTATAGAGCTGATTTTCAATCAGGAAGAGGAATACAGACAACTGGTCCCTATACTTATTATTTGTTACTCAGTATGTCACAGAATCTCAGCTTTATGCTGTCTGGCAAACTATTTTTTTCTGTCTACACAGTGTACAGATGTTTGAATGACTTCAAGTTCACTGTTTTGCATCTCACCAAAAAGCTGCCTCAGGTTTTCCCCCTAGTGTTGATTTGTGCGACACTCTTTAAGAAAGTGAGACTTAGAAGGAAGTGTTGCCGATAGCTTTGTTTTTAAAAGGGTAGAAATATTTGATTGATTTGAAACATACCAAATACATTTTTTTCCAAACAAATAAGCTCGTAAAGGCCTGGAGACCATCAGTTTACACAGCTTATGTAGCTGTTAAAGAAGCAAATCTACCTTCATAACAAGAGGTCTGGTTCATTGTTTTGAAAATGCTTAATTCTGTGAAGTCTGAGAATGGATCTATATTTATGCTGAAATAGTACTCACTCCCACCCAATACTTTGTTATACCGAGTGACGTACTAGGAATAAAATAAATGATTTGCCATGTTTTGATAAGGCATTTCTCTTGACCCTCTGAGGGAACAGTCTTTCGGCTGCAGCCTTGACGACTCAGTCTTTTTAAGTCTCTTAAGTGGATTTGATGTTGGGATCAGAATTAATCTGGGATATTTATGGAATAGTTATAATCGTTCTGAGGTATAGTCTGAAGAGCTCAATGGGAAAGTTCAGATTTACCAGACTTCAGCAGTCCTGTCCTACACGTAGAAGACAAACAGGGAATCTTCGACTCCCTGATATAACCTAAATATACAACTAGAACAGATAAACACTTGGTTAGAAAATGCTGGCTCCTTTGTGGATTTCAATAAACCATCCCTTTCCTCCCTGAGCCATCAAAAATAGCTAATTGCTGCCCCTTTGCTATCTCTGCTTTAAGCAACCTGCTGAAATGTAATGCATTCATTTACAGATGTTTTGTACATGAATTAATCTGTTGTTTCTCCAGTATATGTTGACAGGAGAGACCACAGAGCCCATGAATTGTAATAAAAGAAACATGGGCTATTTTTGTTATTCTTCCTTTATGTTTGGATTTCAATTTGTCCTCTTGTTAACATTTTGGTTTGAAATTCATTAGGAATGACATTATGCAGTATGAATGTAATCCCCTAATTTAATTTCAGCAGTCTTTTGTGGGATAGCTTTGACCATAGTGCTTTGTCTCCTGTTTTCAGTGCTTCTGCTTCTCCTACATTAATCTTGTAAGCAGAATATGACTTGTTTAGTCATTTTATTTGAGTTATTTCTCCTTTTCTTCCTGTAATCCATACAGACAAGCAGTCATACACACTGAAACATACAGAAACATGTCAGAATCTAGTTGTGAAACACAGATACATCAGCCTTACTGTATTTGTATATATACTTCCTTTCTGCCAAAGTAATTGAGGGATTTTACAGTTCACAGTAGTAATATGCAATATACGAAAAGTGATGCAAAAGGGTTGGGTAGGGAAGAGAATCCAGATATATGATTATCAACTCTTTCATGACATTACATAATGAAATTATATAATAATCTGGTGGGCTGGCTGCTGCTGGAGACATTTCTGGGAGAGGATAATCCAGATGGGAGTTAGCAGAAAGCCTCTTGCTCTGAAATGACTGGGCTGAATGACTGCTGATGGAAGTAGCAACATGCCTCCTGTTCATTAAAAAGTAGACTCAGTTTAAATAGTAGCATATATACTCTTAGCACAGGGAATGCACTTTTTTCTGATTGAAAGACATGAAAAGGTCTAAAACAGAAATGCATGTATGAACATCTCTTGAAGAAATGTATTGGTAGAATTCAGAGAGCTAGCATTTATCTTCTAAGTTCAACATGTTGTGAATTTTGTAGTACAGTCTTGCAAAACATGCAGAATTAGCAATTCACATATACAGATGCTCATGTCCTAAATATCTAATAGGGCTGTGTTGTGGGTACTCTGCAAAGCAGAGATGGGGAATGTCTAAATGCTGCTGGACTGCAGTTCCCATCATCCACAATGACTCTACTGCTTAAGGCTGATATGAGCTGCTGTTTGACACCATCTGGAGAGCCTGTATTCTGATCCTCAAGCAAGGTTCCCTCTAAACTGGGCGTGTGTGACTCCACCTCCATCCATGCAGCTCTGCACAGTAATCACGGTCAACTCCTTTGGTTCTGGTTGTGTCAGAACCCTGCCTGGGGGGGGGCACTCTGAGTCGCATGAGCACTCAAATTAGAGAGTACATTGCCCTCAAGGATCATACTCACAATCTTGGCATGCTTATTGATCCAGCTCTGTCATGGGAGACTCAGCTGTTCTCTTGGCTCAAAGTTCTTGTTACCAGCTTTTATTGATACACCATCCGCAACCTTACTTGGATGAAGATAGCTTGGTCACAACAAATAGCCATATTAGGCTGTCTTTTAAAAAATAATCTGGAAAATAGAGGTGGTTCAAAACAGGACTATTAAATTACTATAGAAACTGGATTGCTTGCCCACGGTGCACCTCTAATTTGTCAGCTGTACTGCTTGCTCAGCTCAGCCGTTCTCAAGTTCAGTTCAAACTGCTACTATTAGCCTTCCAAGTCTTGGCTGTATGGAACCAAGTAAAAAACCCTTTCCTGTATATTCCTACCATATGATCACCAATAGGGAGCTTTGAGCATTATTATTTCTCCTCAGTGACAGAATTGAGCTGAATTACTACCATAAACAGGGCCTTTTCAGTAGTGGCGCCTCAGTTGTAGAAGAGACTTCCTAAAGAAGACTTGTCCTGTCACTGAAATCTTTTTGGATCCAACTTTCGTTTTCTCTGGGCTTTCCAAGTACTGTAGTGTATTTTGTCTAGACCTCTCCATGTTAAAATCTTTATTCTTAATGCTCAGGTTCTGTTTTGATACTGTTTTGTTTTGATACTGCTTATTTTTCTCAGCCAAGTAGGGCTGCGAAAGCAATGCACACCAACAGAATGATTAAAACATTCTTTAAAAACTGATAAGGCAATTTTTGAAATTATATATATTTTAAAAACAGTGCTCTTTGGCACTCATTCTTTGCACTGGAAATTCACATATGGCAGTGAAATACGCACAGAGAGACACACACACCAATACCTAAAACATTGCTTTCTAAGTCAACCTTGGGTAACCCATGTGTTCCTGGACTGCAACTCCCAGAAACCCTGGCCAGCACAGCTGGCGATGAAAGCT